ACCAGATGATTTTTATTATGTTCTGATATGTAAAACCATAGAACTCAAAGAGGGTGTACTTTCTTTTTCACATGATTGAATATCTCCATCCTGGGTGACCTAAGTGATGCTGTGGCTACCCTTTCGCGGTGCCTGGAGACTGTAGGGGCCTGGTTAGGGGACAACAGGCTTCAACTGAACCCTGGTAAGACGGAGTGGCTGTGGGTATGGGGAGCCCCAAGATCTAGGAGTTTATCATCTTTGGGTTTTGACAGGGTCACACTACCCCAGACAGACCTGGTACGTAATCTGGGGGTCCTCCTGGACTCATGACTCCTGTTCAAAGAGCAGGTGGCAGTCATGGCTAGAAGGGCCTTTGCACAACTTTGTGTTGTCTGGCAGTTACACCCCTTCCTCAATTGGGAGGTCCTCCTCACGGTCACTCATGCCCTGGTTACCTCCTGGTTGAATTACTGCACTCTACATGGGGCTACCCTTGAAGAATATCTGGAAGCTACAGCTGGTGCAGAATGCGGTGGCGCGGACAGTTCTGAATGCCCCTGGGGGACACATATAACACTGCTGTTACACAAGCTACATTGATTGCCGGTTTGCTTCCAGGTCCAATTCAAGGTGTTGGTCATCACTTTTAAAGCCCTTCATGGCACAGGACTAGGTTATCTGAGGAGCCGTATCACCCCTGTTATATCAGCCTACCCCACTCGGTCCGGCAGAAGGGACATGTTGCAGACCCCACCAGTCAAGGAATTTCGAGTGGTGGGATCTAGGAAGAGGGCCTTTTCTGCGGTGGCCCCCACTCTGTGGAACAACCTATCTCCTGAGATGCGATGTGCCCCCACTCTCATGGCCTTCAAGAAAAGCGTGAAATCCTGGCTATGCCAGAAGGCCTGGGGGCTGGATGGGGGCTCGCATCAGTGGAAGTGGCTTGTGGGGTAATTGATTTTGCCTCCCATCATCTTGAATGTTTTTAGTATTTATGTATAGGGTTTGTTTTACAGTTTGACTTTTTAATGGATTAATTAATTTTAATTATCTATGTGATATTCTTTAATTGTTCATAGGTTTTTGATTTTAATTGTGAGCTGCCCAGAGTCACCCATTGGGGGAGATGGGCGGCATGAATGAATGAATGAATGAATGAATGAATGAATGAATGAATGTCAGTCTCCTGCTTCATTTTGGCATTTGTATGGCATTTCCTAAGCCATACAATCCAACTACATTTTCCTCTTTCATGTTTCCAATTTTGGCATTCCAGTCTCCAATCACAAGTAACACCTGTTGCTTGCATGTTCTGTCAATTTCAAATTGAAGTTAATCATAGAAGTCAACAACCTCCTCTTCTTCTGCATCAGTGGTTGGAGCACAAACTTGAATGATTGTCATATTAAAGTGCTGCCCATAAAGTCTAATCAATAATATTCAGTCATTGATTGCATTGTAGCCAAGTACTGTTCTTGCTGTACTCTTCCTAACTATAAAAGCAACGCTGTTTCTTCTTTGTTTTTCATGTCCTGAGTAATAAACAGTGTGATCTTCTGACTGAAAGTGTCCAATCCCAGTCTATCTAAATTCGCTGGTGCTTAACATGTTAATTTGTAGTTGTTTCATGTCATCATTTACTGTGTTGAGCTTTTCTGTGTTCATGCTTCTTACATTCCACGTTCCTACCATAATTCTATCTTTACAGCTTCATATTTTCTTTTCCTGCATGGCAACATCAGCAACTAGATGTCCTGGAGGCTTTAATCTAACCATATCATAAACACCATTAGTACTCTGAAAGATCCTCAGCTCTTCCTCAATAGCATGTTGAGTGCTATCTGACCTGAGGAGCCCATCATCCAGCACTATATCGTCAATTGTTTAATATTTTCTAACCATGGAGTTTTTTTGATAAAAATACAGGAACAGTTTACCATTGCCTTCTCCCACACAATATGAATGGATTCCTTTGCCATTGTCACTAAAGTGATCCTTTGCCTCTGGCGTCTTCCTATATCACTGCTGCCCAATATAGGTGCCTACTTGCTTTAGCTGGGCAGCTGGGATGACCTTCACGCCTTGGGTGACCCTGCTGGCAGTATATACTCTTGGCATACATTCCCAACCTTTTTCGCTCATCTCTCCCAGGAACATTCACCCACAGCAGGACTTGGGGGGATTAATTATTAATAAATATTAATTAATTAATAATTAATAAATATGGGATTAATATTGTAGAAGATAGTAATAAAAAATAAAATAATCTTGTTAGGATTAGAGTTAGAAAAAAAGTCTGGAAGTAATATAAAAAATTTAACAGATAATTGCAAAAGTCTTTACTTAGGAAACAAAAATCAAATGTGTGAGTATAGGATGGGAGGATACCTGACTTGGTAGTACTAATATTTGCAAAAAAAGATCTTGGAATAGTAGCTGATATGGCTGCAAAAAAAGCAAAAGCAATTTTAGGCTTCATCAACAAAAATATAATGTCCAAATTACAAGATATAATCATCCTATTTTATTGTAGATACAGAGAAGTATATTTTCATCTTCAAACATTATTTATATAATTTAAACTCCTCATAACAATTGGGTTTTCTCTAGCATCTGAGTCCTGATAATGTGTACCCTTTCCTCCCTCACCTGTCTTGGGCCTTCTGTGTGGATATGTGTATGAGTAACAGAAATTGCTGTATGTGTTTGCACGTATAAAATGAGGCAAGAGGGAGAAATTGTAGATAAATGAAATCTTATCTATTTATTTCTATGGGAGGAGTGTTGTTTCAGTTATCTAAATGTCAGTAGTCTATAGGAAAAAAGCTGCTGCTGCATCATGGGGTGCGCCTGTGTGGGGACTGCTGTGTAAATTTATGTGTAGGTAAAACAGGGAAGGATGCAATGTATGAGATGGGGAGACAGGTGTGATTTGTGCATAGATCTGCATGAAACAGTTGTTTCAGTGCAAGAGGAGGAAGAACTTCTTGTAAAAGTTCTTGTAGAACTGGTATACTGTCTGTTCCACTTCCTGTCACCATTTGATTGGTCTAGAATCTAATCAGGTAAACCTGGCCATAATAAGGTATGCTCCTTCTTTGCATTACAGACCATTTTCTGTCAAACCCTCCATTGGGACCCTCGGAGTAAATGAAACCACTCAATTCACTATTGACTTTTATCCAGAAAAAAGTGGAAACCACTGTGAAGACCTTGCTGTCCATTATGATACAGGTGAGAACAGGGAAATCTTTTTTTTCATTCATGGAATCATGTGATTTCAGAGATCCTAGCAGTGCATCCTACAACTATTCCTTGGTTTTTGGTTGGTTTTTTTTTTTTGCATAATACTACAATGAACTGAGACTACCTTGCTTTGTTGGATTAGATTTTCCTTGCAGTTGATACATATTTTAGGTAAGCCACTCCCAAAGACAGAGAAATGATGTATGAATAAATTATTACTCATTTATTTTATGGATTTAAAGATGCTGTTTGGAATAACAAACTCTCTCTAAAAGTTTTATGGATATGCTGATTCCTTGCAATTCGCACATTTTCTCCTATCACATAAAGTTCTTGGAACAGGAAACGTATCCTGTTTGAGAGAGAGTGCTATGTCAAGAGATAAATTTGATTTGGTCCTCTTGGCCTTGTTCCTACAGCTCGGTCTGGCTTGCTTATTGTAGGATCTATGATTTGGCTAATGCTCAGTGGGGATCAATTTTGTGAAGTTATCTATGATCTCTGTACTGTTGTAGAGCTTTGGCAGGGAGAAAGCAGGGAGCTTGGCTTCAGATAAAGCTACTTCTGACTGTGGTCCTGGTTGCTGAGCCAGTTGGATCTGAGCAGATTATTTCTCGATTTGATTTATAAGGCCATCATGAGAACTCATACCCAAAAGATTTTCATGCCTGATCAGGTCATCCCCAGCGTTGTCTCTGAAGCAACCGCTCCAGTACAAGGAGAGTGACTGATAGATGGGCCAGATCCTTAACTCTCTATTTACACGATCAGTACTTCTTGTGGTTAGTAGACTGTGAAGTGCTAAACAGTTGGGGCCACTGGTCACACTTCAGGAAGTCACACCCCTTCTTACTAGTTCATGCACTGATCCACAATTCCCATCCCATCACTATTGATTTCTGGGGAAAGGTTTAGTGAGTGTAACTGCTTATATCTCTTTTGATGGGCAGCATTTCAGTTAAAGGCCTCAGAGTTTCAGCATCAGAAGGTTAGGGAGCACAGGAAGTCAACATTCTGGCAGAGGTCCAAGTAATCACATCAAGAATTGGCCTCAAAACATAAAACACCTGAGATCTGGCTGCCGCAGACGTTTTGGAAGGAGTGGATAGTGCTGCTGGCAAGGCTGTTGTGATTAGAGTAAAAGGAAAAAGACAAAGAACTGGATAGTGGAATCTGTCTAGACTTAAAGCAAACTGAGGGTTGAAGGAGTTTCGTACTCATATTATCTAATTCTGGATGGCAGCAGCAGTGGTAAAATGTAAGCAACAGCAATAATGTAGGTTGATGGGTTCTCCTGACACGGCTGTGGGGAACTGAGAAAACATGGTAGCCGTCATTGCTGGACGGGTGGTCAGTGATGAGGAGGTGTCCAGGTTGGAAGCCCATAAATTATATGTTGAGCTTTGGGGGATTGGAATTAACAAAGGACCGTGAGAGATGTTCTTCTCTGGAGTCAGGTTGACAAGGAAATATTTTGAGACTTGTGTGAGAGGCAGTGTTGTAGACACTGGACTTCCGTTCAATGCCTCTGCCTAGGGCTAAGTGACTTAACTTCTGAGACTGAGTTACTGTCAGAGGGTGCAGGCAAGGGTTTCTGTGAACTTGTTGGATCTGTCAACACAAGATCAGGGTCCAGTACAGTACTATCGCCACTTCATGCTTCTGGATCTAGTTCCTTACCATCCTCCTCATCTGAAGTCATTTCTCCTAGCATAATGGCCTTCATTGTTTTTAATAAATAATGGGCTTCAATGTTTTTAATAAAACAAGTTAATTAGGCTTTAATAAATAATAATAAAAACACTTTTGGCCATAAAAAAAACCTTCCAACATTGGTGCCAGTTCATAGAAGATGCCAAACAAGCCACTGAAGTCTGAACTAAGCATAAGAAACTGGAATCTTGCATTCATTGTTAGGTCAGGTGGGCACCATTCTTTTCTTGCTTTAATGATCACATTGCCTATATTCATAGCTCACTGAATAACCAGCCTGATGCTTTATCTTTAAGCCAGAATATTTTGCACCTTATGACCCTTCCCACTTCCATCCTATGCCCAGAAAAAATTGCAGCACCCTTCCACCAACTCTACCCTGTGAGATACTACAGGCTGCAAGGAAGGTTCCTTTCTTAATTAGTCAAATCTGTATTCAGCAGGTGCAAATCCCCTACAGATAACAGAAATGGATGATCTTCGTTCTGCTTTTCTTGGGAATAGGGAAAGCTTCACCACAATGGCCAGCTATACATCTCTCCTTTCCTGAAGGAGGAAATCATGCAGCTTTGCCATGATAGCCAGGCAGCTGGAAGTTTTGGAGTTCTGAAAACCTCCTTCCTTCTATTCATTCATAGCCTAGCAGTAGAGCAGATGTTAAGGTCTATGTTTTCCTGACATATGTGTTGCCACATTGAACTGCTAAAGCAGCCAGATTGTACTGTCCCCTCCCCTCCCCACAAGGAACTTAAGTCTCCTTGGACTTAATTATTGTCCTAAGTATCAAAAGCCTAACTGCAATTTTAGTGGAGGTTTATCCTTTTTATAAAATGGTTCATTTCATCCCATCAGAGCCTTTTCCTTCAAGTGTTCCAGAAGCCTGCCCATTAATTCCTCAGTGACCACCACTCTGAAGGACACCACTGTCTCTGTCTCCACTCTTTTCTTGTTACCTCCACCGTTGTCCAGGGATGAGATTCCATCTTACATTCCAGGTTGGCTCCAGGAACATATGTTCTTTCTTTCTATTCTCTCTTGACATACCATCCCCCATTGTCCAGTCTTCTTCAACTCTATTCCATTCAAAGACAATTTCTTGCCAATCCCACAATTAGTCACTCATTACCTCCTTACCTATGAGGCCAGTTCTATTTTAAATAAATTAATCAGCCAGAAAGGCCAAGGATATCTAGAATTATTTTGAACCATCTTTGTTCCTTTTTGTTTTGTGTTGTTTTCTTTTGTTGTTTAAATGTTTTTAACTATTTGTATATCACCCAGAGTTGCTGGGAGTCAGGTGGCATAAACATTTAATTGATGATGATGATGATGATGATGTTGATGATGATGATGAAGAAGAAGAAGAAGAAGGAGAAGGAGAAGGAGAAGGAGAAGGAGAAGGAGAAGGAGAAGGAGAAGGAGAAGGAGAAGAAGAAGAAAAGGCTTGTAGCTGATTGTTTATATAACAGTCTCCTGAACCTATATCAGTCTGTGAGGCAACCATTACAGTGACCTCTGCAGCCAGGCAGAGTATGTGCAGCTGGACTGGCAGAATTTGAAAGATGATCAAAGACGCAGGGAGTGAGGAATGCCACTTGCCTTGAAAGAAGTGGTTTTATACCCTCTCTCAGACAACTGCTACTCGGTTTCCATCTTTCTCTTTTGGGGGAAGTTTGTTGAGAAAATGAGAGGAAATCAGTTTCAGAGGATCCTAGAAGAAGTGGATTATACAGCCTTTTTTAAATTGAGAATTGAGGCCTGGACATGGGATGGAAATAGCATCATTGGCTCTGATAGATGATCTTCATTGGGATGTGGACGAGGGGTTCTTTTGGTCCTGTTAGGTCTTTCAGTGGCATTCAGTACCATTGAACATGCTATTTTTTCAACTGCCTGCAAGAGTTGGTGGTTTGAGGCACTGTTCTGTGGCGGATCCACTCGTATCTGAGTGGATAATTTCAGGGAGTAGTGAGTGATTGAGCCTGTTTTTGCTCCATTGTGGAATACTGCAGGACTTGTTATTTAACATCTCTATGAAACCACTGGGGAGGTCATTCATACACTGATTTGGGGTGAGGTCTCATCAGTATAATCGCAGGTCAGGATGGATATGATGCAGAAATCTTGAACTGATAACTGGAGGCTGTGAGGGCCTGAATGGTGTGAAACAAGTTCAGACTAATGTGAGCCAGATGGAGATCCTGTGAAGTGAAATCTATTTTGTGGCTGCTACAAGCTTCTAAGCTCAGTTCATGCACAGTTCTGCCTGTCCTGTGTGGACATAGGAGGGCCTTCTGAAGTTCCTACCCCCAGGAGAGATGGGAAGGGCATGGATTGCAGGTAGGGCTCTGTTGTGGCACCTAGTTTATGGAATGCACTTCCTTCCAAGGTGCACTTGGTCTTTTTACTTCTTTTGTTCTAAAAGTTACTGAAAACCATACTTTTAAAGCAAGCTTTTGAGCTCTAGCAATTAATATTGGGTGATCTTTAATGATATTTGTATGATTTAGCTGATTATAAATTGCTTTGATGGAGATTGAATGAATGAGTCTTAACTGGCCTGTTAACTCCTTCACTATTTATATACTATTTAATAACTATTTTAATATTTTTTAAAAATGTAACAGCCTATATCAAATCCATTGATTCATCCATCCCATGTATGATTTGTATATCAAAACCACACCTTTTATAAAAATATGCAAAAATAGTACATTAAGTCACCTCCCACATGGATTACTGTAATGCACTCTACATAGGGCTGCCCTTGAAGAGCATCCAGAAGCTTCAGCTGGTGCAAAATGTGGTGGTGCAGGCAGTTATGCATACAGTTAGATCAATGCACATTATACCCCTGCTCCGCAAGCTGCATTGGTTACCAGCTTGCTTCTGGGTTCAATTCAAGGTGCTGGTAATGGCCCATAAAGCCCTTCATGGCATGAGGCTGGGTTATTTGAGGGACTTCCTTTCCCCAATCACATCTACCTGTCCTGTCAGGTCTGGCAGAAAGGGCATTTTGTGGGTCCTGCCCACTAAGGAATGTCATCTGACAGTGCCCAGAGGAGAGCCTTTTCTGCCTCAGCACCCACCCTCTGGAACATCATCCTCTTGAGGTCAGACTAGACCCAACCTTACTGGCCTTCTGGAAGGACCTGAAGACATGACTTTGCCATCCTGAGGATCTGGTAGTGGTGGCATGGAGCCTGCAAAATGGCTGTACTGTTAGTGAGATTGATTGCACTCTTCTGCAGATTATGTGTTTTTTTTCATGGTTTTAATAATTTTTATTGTTCTAATGTGTTTTAATGGTTTTTGTTATAATTGTGGTTATTTTTGTATTTTTGGTGTGTTTTTAACTCTGTAAGCTGCCTAGAGTCACATATGTGAGATGGGTACCTATATAAATCAGATAAATAAATACAGTGGTACTTAAAAGTTTGTGAACCCTTTTGAATTTTCAGTATTTCTGCATGAATATGACCTAAAATGTGATCAGTTCTCCATACAAGTCCCAAAACTAGATAAAGAGAACCCAGTTAAACAAATGAGTCAAAAACATTAAACTTGTTCATTTATTCATTGAAGGAAATGATCCAAAGCTACACATTTGTGTGTGGCAAAAGTATGTGAACCTTTGCTTTCAGTAACTGGTGTGCCCCCCTGGGCAGCAATAACTGCAACGAAACATTTCCGAGAAACTGTTGATCAGTACCGCACATCGGCTTGGAAGAATTTTAGCCCATTCCTCCTTACAGAACAGCTTCAGCTCAGGGATGTGGGTGGCCTTCCTCACACAAAGTGCCCACTTCAGGTCTTCCACAACATTTCCATTGGATGAAGCTCAGGACTTGGGCTTGGCCATTCCAAAAAATTAATTTTCTTTTGCTTTAACCATTCTTTGTTGTACAACTTGGTTTTTTAAATATATAATTTTATTAAGAATGTTGATTATAATAATAAAATCTAAAACAAACTATTTAAAGAAAAAAAAGAGAATAGAGAGGAGTAAATAGTGCAAGGAAAAAGAAAAAAAGAGAAAAGTAAGAATATAATAAAGAGAAAAGAAATATATAAAGAAGTGACTTCCAA